TAAACACAAAGCAGAACTTTATTAACTAAAATGAACTAAACACAGAGCAGAGTTTATTAACTAAAATGAATTAAACACAAAGCAGAACTTTATTAACTAAAATGAAAAAAGAACAGACAAGGTCAAAGCATTGTGAAAATTCTATCAAAAATGAACTTTGAAAAAGCCATATCACAGGTCTTGTACTCCCTTCTTCACACCACTAGATGGCACCGATCACCGGGTCTGTTAAACTGAAAGACGATCACACATTTTGTCACATTTGAATTTGAATTACTTTGCAAATTATGTCATAACTCTTGTAATGTTTGTTTAAAACATTAAAAAATATCAAAGATAATAACCTTTTGAAACCTACACATTATATCAAAATTAAACAATAGGTGGATGTCATTCAGATCTAATTCAAAGTGCCAGAGTGATTTGCAACTGCACCGAAGTGTGCAGAGGCTTCTGGGTTAATTTTATTTAATTTTGTTTGTTTGAAGGTCTCTCAGTCTTTCACAGAAGTGCAGAAGCAAACACTGCACTTTCAGTTTATTTATATTTATCTTGAATGATGAGTTTATTCATTCATTATTATATGATGTAGATCTTCATTAAAGTATCGATGCAGTTGTGTGGAATAAGCAGCATCCAGTTATCTCCATTACATTCCAAACCTAATGATAAGAAAAATCTCCTTTTATGTTCCATCCGACATCATTTTGAGTGGGATAAGTGAAATATCTGAGAGACTAAAGGGATTACATAAGTGATTTTTCTGTCCTATGGGATCCTCTGCATAAAGAGCAAGAGCGTTTCCCTCTATCTCCCTCATACTGGGCAAAATATTACCATCCTCTTGACTGGAGCAGCAACACTGATGATAATGGCACATCAGATCAGAGCAAAAGGTCAGGCACTGGCCTAAGGCGAGCTCATAGTGAATACCCACGATGCAATGCTCCCTTCTCAACTAGCTCAGACTCGCCTGCTGGACCTCTTTCTTGTCCTCTCTCTTGCTCTTTCTCATCCGTCCTTTATCAGCCGGGACCGCAGGAGAGCCATTGTGCAGAGTGCAGAATGAAGCAAGATCAAAAGAAAGAGGTTGAAAGATGATTTTTTTCTTTCTTATTAACAGCTACAAAAGCGAAGGGAACAAAAAAACAGAGACATTGGCGCCTTGTGGGAGGGGAACATATTTGAGCATTAGTTGCAAGCAGACTGCAGGAAGAAGAACTCTGCATATTTCTCTTTGTATGTTTTTTTTTTTATTTTTATACCTTTGATGCACATTTTGGCACAATCGACTTCGTTGGTCAGTTGCTTCTCCTATGCCAGCGGCAGTGGGGTTTGACTGTGCCACAGGAGAGGAGGGTAAATATCAGAGAAGGTCACTGGGAGGATGGAGTGATGGCTAGAATGATAAAGGAGAATGAAACAGATTTGATCTTTAAAGAATCAGAACATTTGCCAGATTTGTTGTTGAGCAGTGATTCTGGAGCTGTTCAGCCTCTAAAGCCACTTTCTAAAACTGTTTAGATTTGACATTTAATCGATTCGATGCTCAATCGGATTTTTTACCTGTTTACACATTCTTTCAAATGTGACTTGTTTCCAATTCATGTGTTTACACTTGGCATAGCAACCCGCACAAGGTCGCATGTTGTAGTAGTGTAGAAAAGGTGAATGCACGTGAAATATGCTTATGATAGCTCTTCACTGTAAACAACCTTAACTAACGTAAAACAACATTGAAGGATTTTCAGTAGGAGAAGAAAAGGAACACCCAACCCCCACACCCTTATATATACAGATTACCTGTTGCATTACTAACGGGAAATTTACAAATCAGCAGTTTTTGTACTTTTTATTGTTGTATCATTTTCTTATTCATAACATATGCAAATAATAATAATTTATTTGAGAAAGGATTGGAACATGAATATGTATGACGTCAATTTTTAAACATTTTGTAAACAGATCATACCAATATAGGATGGAAATCAGTCTCATCAAAGTTTTTCAAGCAGTCCTCATAGACCCTCCTCCGCTCTAAGTCTGTAAAATGCTTGAACATGATATCTGTATCTATCAGGATACGTGTTGGGCTCAGGGGCCATTTTAATGACCTTAGCAGCACTAAGTCTACCCTGTTATTCATGTGGGGAGCAGGACAATAAGGGAACACCCAAAAATATTACAGTTCTTCTTGATGCCAGAAAAATGTTCCATCGCTAATGTCCCAATAATGTATGCGTAGGACATTAAATGCTTCTTTAATTTCACAGTTATAATTTTCAAAATTTTAATAATTACATTTAAATTAAAAAATATATATAAACTTTAATGTGAAAACAAAAATATTCACCCAAGAATCTTTTAGTTTAATCTCTAATTGGTAAATTCTTTTTGTTATTCATAACTTATGAAAATAATAAAAATATTCTTTTATTAAAGACTTGAACATAATTATTCATGAGATCAATTTGATACCGAGAAATAACCATTTCAAACAATTTTTAATCTGGCAAATTGAGCAAACTAATGTAGGCTGTAAATCAGTCACATCAAAGTCTGTCCAGCTGTCCACATAAACCTAGATAGAAAGAAAGGCAGGAGGTGATGACCTTCCAACACCCATCCCCCCTTTCCCCCACTGAGGTCAAATAACAACCCCCTCCACCAACATTTCAAATCTTTTCGACCCTGAAACCATTTTAATGACAGCACTAAGTCTACCCTGTCATTCAAGTGGGGAGCAGGACCATGACAATTTTCCATTTTTGGAAGGTAATGTGTTTGCTGGGGGTTGAGGGACAACAAGAGTGTCAACCCTTTGAATCTCATTCTTATCTGAGGAGGATGCCCCGTACTCGGGGTCCTCCTCAAGATTATCCTCTGTCTGACACATTCTCCTCTGTGTCACTTTCACCTGCGGCTAAATCTCACTGACAGAAAACCTTCCCTTATAGGCCATTTTAAATTGAGAGAGCATAAAGAGAAATAGTTTAGAAAGCTTCCATGCAAGCTTTTAAAACAGCCACAGACATTATTACTTATTTTAACCACTTTTTAATTTAAAAATGAAACAAGAACATAAATTCAAGTAGGTTGTAATCTTGATTAATATTATAAATAATATAAGCAAAAGAATGAACATGAAAAGCTTATAGGTCTTTTCTATTCTAAAAATATATGCTCGCACAATTAAATGCCTTTTTTAGCAGATTCTTTAGTTCAAATCACAAAGATGAAGTGTATTTTCCACCTCTGCGACTACAGAAGATCAATGAAAGGAGTGGGAAGATGGTTATGAGGATCAAAGCAGCACCATTCAATAGAGACACATGGCCAAACACTCCCATACACACTCACAGCTTTCCCGCCCCACAAACACACCACAGTCTGTCTGTTCTTTGTAACCACACAGCAGGGGCAGCATTAGCTCTAATAATTCAGGGAATTTGTGCCGTTTTCCCCTTTCAGCCCCGAAGGAAGAGCAGCCTCCAAGAACAAATGAAAGAAAGTTCCAGACTGTGATTTATTTCATTAGGCAAATGAGATGTGTGAGCCCTGTGGCAGTGTGCAGAATCATCCTCCTTTTCTCTCTTTCAAATTTGAGCCTTTGCATCAGTATATACCTAAGAAGTGCACAAAACATCCGCTCTTGGTGGTTGGTAGTCGCCTGTCCTGTGGTGCGCCGCTTGTTCACATCCATGCATATGTAGCACGTCACGTCTAATCAAGCTCAGGAATGACTGGAACTGAAGAGTTTGCCAGGGAACAGCTGTTGCTGTGTTAGCGGAGAACAAAATGGCTGCCGTTCAGTCCCAGTCTTCTAACTGTACCTGACCGGCGTCAAGTATTCGCCTAGAGCGCCTCTCAATTATTTTGAGTAAGTGTGACATGAAATGGACTGGGGTGCCAGAAATTATGCATTATGTCAGAGTAGCAATGGACATATGGTTTCGATGGAATATTAAGAACATGTGTGCTGGTGGGCCTTTCTTCATGGACTTTTATTTTTTTTGTCCATAAAAATAAAAAAAAAAATGTGACAACGTGTGAGGCGATCTTTCCTTATGAAATTAATTGTTTGACATATGTGCATGTACATATAAATAATACTATTATACCGGTAGTATTGCAAGAACCCCTGACAGGTGACGTGACATGGGGGGAGCAGTAATCCTTATTCTTGTGAGAACTGTGATATTTCCTGTTTTTTGTGGGAGAGGAAAACATAAACTACAAGGTTTACTGGGGAGGTGGAAAGCTGGACTGAAGCTTTCTCAGCTAAATTGAAAATGGCCTCTGAGCAAAAGTTTTCTGTCAATGAGATTTTGTCAGTGAATGTAACACAGAGGAGAATGTGTCTGAGACAGAGGATAATCTTGAGGAGGGCCTGGATCATGAGGCATCCTCCTCAGATGAGAGTGAGACTTTTTTACGCTTCTGTTATCTCTCAAACCCCAGCAGACACATTACCTTTCAAAAAGGGAAAAGTATTATGGTGCCGCTCTTTACTTGAATGACAGGGTAGACTTAGTGCAACTAATGTCATCAAAATGGTTCCGGGGCCCACCAGCAATGTAGTTAGTTATGATCAAGACTTGACATTTTTTTCGGAAAATATTCGGAAAGTTTTAAATTGCTGGAAAAAATGTGGATTTCATGAGAACAGGAGGATTAAATCACTTGCATGTCGTCAACACTAGTGTAAAACAAATGCTGTTATGGAACGATTGCTTTTAAATACTTCTTAGCAATTATAAAGTACTTTTTAGTCATAAACCACTTTTTGCCTTTTGTCACCTGCATACCATCAACATTCAAATGTGTCTAAACCCCATTTTGTTTGATAATTGTTTTGATGATTATTTGAAGAGTTTGACTGTGGTAAACCGGAGTTTTAGATCAATGAACCCAACCAATAATTTACTTTGATGAAATGGAGTATAATGTAATTAATTATGTTTGTTTACGAATAACTATTCTTTAATAAAAATGTAAGCTTCCCTGTAGCTCAGTTGGTTGAGTATAGCTCTAGTAACACTAAGCTTGGGGGTTCTATACCCAGGGAAATTCCTTGCTTGTGATTTAAGTCACGTTAAAACAGAAATATTACATTTCCTTAGACATTTTTTAATTTTAATGGTGACTTTTAGATTCTGTCTGTAACAATACGTACGGTGTAGCTAATAGCAACTGCTGGTGAGAAGAAAGACACTATTGAATGAATTAAACACTGACAAGTTTTATACTAGAAGTATTTTAAGGGTTTTTGTATAACTGGGAAGTAAAATGAGTCAGATTGTGGAACTGTTTGATTTAGAAGCAGACCTCTCGGTTTGATCAAACTGATTGTTTTTCAAATCATTGTTCTGGCTTCAGCTGAGAGAGAAAAATGGCCCCAGTTAAACACTGGTTACTATAATACATAATAATTAATGACATTTTGACACTTTTTTTAATTTAACAACTAAAGTTCTTGGTTATTTTTTGGATATTGTTAAGGAAAGCTGCAGCATTTGCCATTGACGGCTTTTCTCATTTAATTAGACTCTGTTGCAGAATTATTATAGAGTTGACCTCAGACTAATGTTTGAAATGTTCGGTATGTTGAAATAGAAAAAAAAATGCAAACAGTTGTCAGACCAAGGTATTAATAGTTTATCATTTTTTTTTTGTAATTGAGTTTTATATAGTTTTGACTTTTTTCTAATTCAGTTTATTAGTGTTATTAGTATTAAAGCATGACTAGTAGTTTTAGTATTAGTTTTAGTCTTATACCTACAGTAATTTTTCAGGTCTAAGATAAAAAATAAAAAACAATCCGCTAGTTTTGTTTTTCTAACATTAATTCAGATATTTCCCATAAGAGTCTGCAGCCTGAAGTGCCTTAAATGAACGTTAACACACCCATGAAGATATGATTAATCCTGTCTTGCTCCAGCTATCTAAACAAAGGTTCAGCTTCCTTTGACTATTGCAGATTATATGTAAAGATATCTGCCATTTATAAACATTCAAATAACAGTTCTAGATATCTTTAATTGGGTAACTCAGAGATATGTCTAACTGTGACTAGTCGTTTGAAAGATATCTCCAAACATTAACAATCGAGAAATGTGATGAGTCATACAATAATTGTAGAAATCATTACATTAAAAAATTTGCAATTGGAATTTTGACTAGAAAATTCAGAGTTGCCAGTATGGAAATGTTCAAACTGCTCCGTAATGTACTTAAGGATTTCTTGGATTCTCATGTTGAGGCCGGTCTCCAACATATTTCACTTGCTTATATTTTGCTGTATATTCAACAAAATCCCATATAGGGCTCTGCCGCTTTCTTCTAACTTTGGAGTGAAAAGTCTGTTGTAAAGTGTCAATAGTTCCTGTACAATCTGCTTTATTTCAATACAAAATGCCAATTTATGTATGATTTCAATTTGTTTTGTACATTTCACTTACGTTTGATAAAATTAACATTGAGATTTTACCAGGTTTATGTATTTTGGACAATGTTTAGGACTATTTCAGCGTTCCTTGGAGGGTTTATATGCACTTGATATGAAAAATATCATAACGTCCAAATTATGATTTTGAACTTTTATAATAAAATGAAATGAAAAAGCTTTACCAAATTATTTTGTTTGGAATGACTAAAAATATTTAAATGTAGGGTCTAGTTTGATTTGTATCCTGATTTCCACCAAGACTGAGCTAAAGCTCCTCTAAATTAAGTTGAATGAGTGTGACGTGCAATGGCCCATGCAGACACCCAAAATTGGAGAACTGTCTGAAGCCGTTGCGGGCACCACTTTTTGACAGAATGAAGAGAGTTACAGGCCACTACAGCGTTTTATTGAACCATCGAAGTGAAAGGCCAACAGTAAGAATTTAGGTCCTGCTATTAGTATTGATTCCTGTTTCTAAATTGTCTCTCTTGTTCACTTATTGCCAGGTTCTCCGTCAGTGAGAGGGTGTGAGGAAAGGAGTGCCACACATTCAAGAATTCGCCGACCACCATCTGCTTGCCAGCTCATACCACTTTTCCCTCAAATCCCAGCATGGCTCTTTCTCTCTGGATCCTCTTCGCTTGCACCATCACGTTCAACAACGTCAGCCCCTCTGCACAGGGTTTGTACCTAGCCTAAACTTAAAAGACTTTGCTTGGTTTGGTGAAGGTGTGACATTGGATAACAAATTATTTTGTCATCACACAATATTCAAATGCATTTTTTAGTGATTTTACATGTGGAACTTTATAAATGTTCTTTGATTTGATTTGTTAAAAAAATATGGCAAAGTCCTTGTTTTTGTTTTTTCGACAAAACTTGATATTGTTTGTGTATTTCCTCTCCTTCCCTATTCATTTAATCTGAAAGTCTGACAAAAACGTAACAAATCCTTTCAACCAATCCCCAGTGCTCTTTTTGATCACATGACTATCATGGTGGCATCAGACAGTGAACGTCTTCAGTGTTTTTTCTTTTCTTTTTTTTAATTACATAAAATAATTATTTTGATGAGCCTGAGCTTGTTTTGTTTGTGGAGAGGTAGCAAAAGCCATAGTAAGACAGCCACAGTAGAAACATTAGGCGAGTAATTTAGAAAAGCTTTTGCTAAGTTGATTCTGAACTGTATATAGCAATGTTCTGTCAGCAGTTCATCTCTGGTTTAGTTCGAATTTTTTTTTATTTGCACAGAAATATTGTTAAACTGCACATCGAAAAATTAGTTTTATTGAATTTTTAATATACTGCAAGATACATTTAGTCTGTTTAAGCAAGAAGTTTGTCACTTTTCATGAATATTAATCACTTTTACTTGTTATTTTCACAAAAAAAAACATTACTTTATATTATTGGAATGAATTTATAGCATTTTGAGGTCGAGCAGGTTATGTTTTTTTGTAATGAATCAAACTGTTCTAATTGGTCTAACAAACTTTGTGAGAAACATGAATAAAAATCTAATATTTTTTCTTTTTTTTAATTTCTATTCAAGACACACTTTGATGATTATATTGTCAACATAAGCTGCAATTTTTTTTTTTACATTTTTTTATCAACTGCTAATTGACATACACTTTAGTTATCATAAGTTACATTATGTTTGATAGATTTTTAGATACTCATTGATTGTCCAATGCACCTGGTGCAGGATGTAGTGATTACATCAGATTGGATTTGATTAGACTTCTTCTTTTGGAAGCTCTGTCAATGCTTTGGGTTTAGCTGCACAACAGACGTTTCAAGTCCCATGACTTAGACGGTAAGTTTAGTAGATGGTCTGTTTGAAGAATTGGTTAGGTTTGAGCTATATGGTGCATACATGAAGCTGAATAGAGTTGATCTGGGCCATTTGAATGAGTAGTAGTTTGCAACTGGTAGATGTTGGTAGTAATAAAATGTCTATACTACAAGTAGGATTGTAGTCAATCCACCATTACAAAGTCCAAGACAAGTCCAAGTCCAGGATGGATGAGTTCGAGTCCAGGTCAAGTAGTGTATGACCTGGTTGTGCTATGTTTCTGTAACCTGCCATTTAGTCTGGAGGCAAGTTTGATTTAGAATAGATTGATGCTGATCTTCATGTCTTATTTAAAGGGGAAAATTTTTTATTGTCGAGACTCACCCAAAACCAACAATTACCGTATTTTTCACCGTATAAGACACAGCGGCATATAAGACACACCCAGTTTTAAATGAGGAAGATCTAGAAAAAAAGATTCTGAACCAAATACTGTAGTAAAATATTTTATATCAACTGTGTAAAAGTTAACAGCAGTTTAAGAACAATTATATGCCAGATCGGATCTACCGTATTTTGGATGAGTAAAAAAAAAAAACAAGACAAACATACCGGTACGTTTTTTCTTTGCCCCCACTCATCACTCTAAAGTCCACCATTCGTTATCACAATCACTGTTCCAGTGCAAAATTGCCCCCACATTAGTAATACTGGTATTGCCAGTAACATTGTCACTACATTACTAATAATAGCTGGTAAGATTGCCCCCACATCAGTAATAATAGCTGGCACAATGCAGCTGCTTACCTGCTCCTTACAATCCGCGCTATGGTAGGATCAACGAGCAGAGATGGGCTATGACGTCAGTGCACACTGCTGGGTGTACAAATATGGCCGACGTATGGCAAGCTCTTTTAACATTTAAACACCCGCCCCGCATTTGCATTTAAAAATAGGAAAAAAAACACATGCATTTAAAAATAGGAATAAATGTATTGTGACTAGTAGTAAATATATTTTGATGGGCTAAAGACATTTAGAGATATCTTCAATTGTAATTGCTCTAGTAAGAAAGTGAATTTGAGATATCTCCAATTATATATTGACTATTCAAAACTCAATTGAAGATATCTGCAATATAATTAAAGATATCTCTAATTTAAAAGATATCTGTAATATTTACTACTAGTCACAATAAATTTATTCCTATCTTTAAATGCATTTGTGGATAGTCAGGGCAGATGTTTAAATGTTAAAAGGGCTTGCCACGGGCTCTCTTGCGCCTTTCCTACGGCCGTGACCGCCCTCCGCTCCGCGGCGCTCTGCATTCACCGTATAAGACGCACCAACTTTTCCCCCTCAGTTTTGGGGAAGAAAAAGTGTGTCTTCTACAGCGAAAAATACGGTAAGTCCGAGTCTGAACACTAATGCGTCCAATCCAGAAAACTGCACTCGAGTCCAAGTCTGGGATTGAGTACTAAATAAAAAAACAACAATAAATGTAACCCAAAAAAGCATGACGCAGAATATACAGAACTTTGAAAAGTGGACAATTGAGCACATGACAATGCATGTTATAGTCATAATAAACTAACCCTGACTGCTCGAACAGAAGAATAAGATTGGTAAATGTGTAAAATTAGTCATTTCCCCAAGGATGAATAAAGCCCATTCAAACTCACCAAAAGCTTTGTTCCTGTCCCCAGAGGTACCTTTGTGTAGATCATTTTTGAAGTCTGCATGCGTTTCCCTCACCACCAGCTTTGATTTCAAATAATCCTTTGTCCTGGAAAATATAGATAAGAGTTGATGCCAAAAAAATAA